CATCACCTCATGCTAAAAATGTTTACAAACTGCCGCCCATTAGGCTACCTTCTTCATATTATTCTTCGTTTGGCATTCCGTGTTATTTTGTTTGCATTTTTTTTACACACTGTATAAGAATTAGTCTGGTTCCCAGACCAAAAGATTCCGACTATTCCTGATGAATCTTAGGTCAGGTAGCCTCCGGTAATACAATGTATTACAATTTACATCACGTGACTAAAACGGGAGGAATTCCTCCTTTTTCCGAAACTGTCCGAAGTTTGCCGAATTCATTTCGTCGACAATTGGATAGTGTCCGAGTATTTCCGAGTATAATATAGGTTTTATTAACTGCTAATTGCTTATTAAAAACTTTAAAAAACTAGTTGATAATTAATATCCATTGCTTTTATTTAGAAAACTTGAAATTCAACGACGATTTTGCACTCGGATCGTATACGAGGGGCGAACTTTTTGTTGCGTCATGCACTAGTTTGAATTTGACGACCGTTACCGGCATTTTCCAAAACGCGGCGTGGTCTCAATTCGGCTCCGCCTGCTAACAGTGCTGTTTGGGTGTCCAACTTTGAAGATTCCAGGTTAAAATTAGTCAATGTTTTTTTACAGAAGTATTAAACTGTATATCATAACTGTATGATATATGAAGCAAGTGATTTATTTTTTAAAAAATTATCGGAACATTAAAAGCTTTATGTGATAAAGCGAATTCGGAAACGGAGTCGAGCTTTGAAAAAGGGCCGTCAATGTCGTCATGTTTATTTTTAGCCACGGAGGCTGCCTGACCTACAATTTAGACGTATAGACGTCGGGGGAAATTGTCAGGTCGGGGAACCAGACTATATAAGAATCTGGTAGCTCTTTCTCTGGCTGTCCGTCGAATCGACGATGACAAGCATGGTGACCGTTTTAGCCGATTTTCGACTAACTTTGACAGATATTTTGCTGGAAAACGAGTTTGACAGAAAATTTGACAGAATGGATTTTTTTGGCAGATTTCTGACAGAATTCTGCAAAATGTTAATTTGACAAAAAAACATAGCAAATTTGAAAAACAAATGGTACATTTCGTAATAAATGCTTGAATTTTTTTCAAAGAAACCCTGGCATAATGGGACAGGTTGGCTGGTCTAGGTGCTGATGTTCACTGCGAACCGAACTTCGTTGTGATACAATTGCATTTTGGCTGAAATTTACGCACTTCTCATAACATCTTTATGCGACTATAGATTGTTTATAATGAAATTTGAACCCTAATTAAGGTAATACTACAACATCTGCATATGATTTTAAGTGTTTATAGTGTATTTCGAGTAATTTCTGTGAATTTGGCAGATTTTTGATAAATCTGACAGATTTTTGAAGTGCATTTAGCAGAATTTGGTTATGACTTTACGGTCACCCTGATGACAAGTGACTTAGTGGGGAGTACATGTATATAGTAGAACGGTGCTTTGAACAAGTGTGTGAAGACGCCGGACCAAGTCTGTTGACAAAGCCCGTAGTGGCAGAAGACAGAGTGCGGATTATGACCAGAGTTGTAACGAGTCACTGATTAGTGTGACTCGAGTCAAGTAGAGTCATTTTAAAGAAGTGACTCGAGTCAAGTCGAGTCATTTTAAAGAAGTGACTCGAGTCGAGTCGAGTCATTAGGTCAAAAGGTCGAGTCGAGTCGAGTCAAGTCAAATATTGAGCTCGAGTCAATTCGAGTTACGATTATTTGAACACTATATACCAAAATTTATAAAAGGAGGCTATAAGTTTAGCCAGCGTTCGAATCCAAGAGTTTTATAAGAAATCGCCTAAAGCCAATGATGAAACAGCGATCGCTGTGGGGGGGGGGGGGGAGACCCATCTTCCAAATGGGGGCGCTCTTCAAAACTTACCATAGGCCTACTACTGTATATTATTATAAAATAGAAAATGTGTTTAACAATCTGGTTCCTGGATAGTATTTTGTTCTTTCTAGAACCATATGAGGTGGGAGTCTGTGACAATTTGTATATTTATACATGACTGCTATTCGCAAAGCAAAGTGAGCATAGTTTTGCACCGTAAGTCATTGCAAATACTTTTCGCAAAGTTGTGCTTTTATTTTTGGGACTCGAGTCTTATTAGCCTTCGCTCGAGTCGAGTCGAGTCTTCTGATGAGGGACTCGAGTCGAGTCGAGTCATTTGCTCGCAGTGACTCGAGTCAAGTCGAGTCATTTACCCTTAGGGACTCGATTCGAGTCATTGACTCGAGTCATTACAACTCTGATTATGACGCCTGGCACGTTGCTTCTCATAATGTATGTCTGATCTTGTCAGTCCCCCCATGACAGCCCCCCACTGAGATTTTGAGTTTCCCAAAAAATTATCATTGATCTACATGACGCCCCCCCCCCCATGAAATGTTCCAGCCCCCCCCCCCCCCCCCCCCCCCCCCCCCCCCCCCCCCCCCCCCACTGAAAAATTCCTGGCTACGCCACTGGGTAGAATAAAGGCCGAGGGAGTCTGGACTCATCCATCCGTACTAGATGCCAAGCCCATCTCAACTGGGCAGTAAGAAGCATAGACTCATCACTTGGCATGTTGGCACCGTTGAAGGACCTCAATGTTTGTCACACGGTCCTTCCAAATTCCAAGGATATGTCTCTTCTAAGGTTTCACAGACCAGATACTAGTGTTGCTGCTGCCCGTCACTTTCGCTCGTACCCCCGCCCTGCAAACAGGACGCTGGGATACTCTGATGAGCTTCACAGAATCTTGTGAAGGAAATGGCCTATGACCTATGTATAAAGCATCTGGCTGCAACTGTTTAAGACCGCAGTTAGACAATGTGCGCAAATGCTATCCGAAAACTTCCCATAGAATTGCGCACATTCCATACCGGATATGATTTCTGTTTCAGCGCGGACCATGTGGACAAAATTTTGAGCGTCGGATATAAATGCAATCCGACCGTTCATGATTCGAAACGGAGCCTGAGCGAGTGACGGGAATTGTAAATTAACAACACAGATAAGTTTTACAGAATTTCCTACATTATTACGCTGTTCAACGAGAAAAAACATCTCTAAACTGGAATAAAAGAGTAATGAATCAGTCTTAACGGCCGTTTCAAACCTTGCAGAGTCATGACCTCGATGACGCACAGGTCACTGGTCACGCAAAATCCAACCAATCAGAGCGTGAATTCATCAGGGTATCCCAGCGTCCTGTTTGCAGGGCGGGGGGTACGAGCGAACCCGTCACTAGGTAGCCTGCCAACAGCTAACGAGTTCAACCTGCCCGGGTTTGCGATCAGGGTTGTCCTTCTCCAAGGTGGACTGGCGACCAAGCCTCAACGAGCTTTACCGTGACCCGGAGCAACCTAGCTGGTTACAGCGCCATCAGGAACACGCTGACATCCTCTGCCATGCAGTAGAAACAGGCCGGGTCGGCACGAGAAGCCATGACAGTAGGATGGGTCAGGAGAGGCTATTATTTGTATTAAATGTTGAGACGCCATGCTATACAACGGGGCATTTCAGTGGAGATGGAGCTACTCAAATTCTCCATCTCACCCCAGCACATCCTAACCCATTTTGACCCCTCTAGCTGGTAGCCTTGGTCAAGGCGCTAGTTTTTATATATTCATCCCGGCCGTAGCGCGGTAAACGATATCCTCGCTAGCGCTATGCATGCGGTGTATTACAAATACAGTGCGTACAGCGACTTCACGCGGCCACCATTTCTATGCAAATCAGTTGGACCCAAGCGCCTTGGTTCAATCGTCGGCAATAGCTTATGTTTTTGTTTATTTTGCGCTGGATTTCTAGCGCACGACCTCGTATGTACGTGTAGGCGGGGCTAATATGTGGAGTGTCCAATCACACCTTGGTAAATCCGGACGTCATCAAATTATTTGCAGCTATTCGCCTTTTGAGGACGTGACAGGAACCACAGTTTTTTGTGCATTGGTGCCGTGTGCAGAGACACACAACGTGTACGTGTATGGATTATGTACGGTGCCACGTTTCACTATGCAAGTTTCCACGCAACGATCGACCAATAAGAAAACGACATTTAAGGTCACATGGACGATTGAACCAAGGCGCTAGATTGGGTCCAACTGATTTGCATAAAAATAGTGGCCGCGTGAGGTCGCTGTTCGCGCTGTATTTTTAATGCACTGCATGCATAGACATAATGACTGCATGCATAGCGCTAGCGAAGATATCGTTTACCGCGCTACGGCCGGATGAATAACAACTAGCGCCTTGACCAAGGCTACTCCTCTGGTAGGTATAGGCCTATGATAACTTCATAACTATAATGTTATGAAGCCTGGCACATAATACGAACTTTGAAATGTTGCATTTGTTTTATCGGATCGAACACATCTCTCTAAAACAAGTGATGACTGATACCTAATTAAAAACGAGACTCGGGTAAACGGTGTCACATTTGTCTTTTATTTCCCGGGTAAATAACTTCATCTATGACGACAAAAAATGCACATTAATTGCTCATAAAGGGTGCAGGCCAGTAAATCGGTCCGAAATTGCTACGCCGGCCAAGTCACGATTTGCATGCATTAGAGCATTTTGAAGGCCGTGAACTTAATGATTTGTAAAAAAGAAGGTTGGAAGCCGTGCAGAGGACTGCGATCTCGTATTTCTGTGAAATGCGGATGATGATTAGGCCCTTAAATGGCTCTATTTTGCAATGGAGCGTAGGCGTCCATTTTCAAAATGGCAATGGGCTTCATATGACTGCTTTTAGGGGTGATCTTCTTTGGATGGATTTTTTCCCCAAAAGTCATTGGTTAACCCCCAGAAAACTGAACAGAAAATGAAAGATGGTGAAATAAGCTTAAATTTGAAGTACGTCTTGAACACCTCAGAGAGTTGTGAGTATTTTTCTTGAATTTCTCAAGTGGGGGCATTCATCATTGGGGTCAATGGAAATGTATTTACTGGTCTGCGACCCTCAATGCCATGCCATATATCTGTAAACGTGACTAAAATTGAAACTCATGGTGGCGCTATCATTCTAAAACGATGGCGGAGGTGGGCAGGCGAAGATACCAAAAAAGTGCGAAAAGAAGATCCGATGCAATAAATTTTCTAGCCAACATTTCGCTTGACGGTAGTTTTTCACAGCCAGAAGACAGTCCAGTCAAGGCAGAGGATAAAAATGAATCTCGTGGGGAGAAGGGAACAGCAAGAATTGTCGCTGAACAACAAGAGAAGCAGACGTCGGACTCGACTTTGTACGTTCCAAAAGTACGGGACACGACAGAGACGGACGCTTCGACCAGCGAGATAATGTTAAAGCCCCGGGCGACTGAGAGCTTTTCCCCCGGCGAGGCCCGCGGCCGCACACGCTCAGCCGCCAAGGCAGTTATCGGAGCATCCTATGGAGGTTTACGCGTCAAGTCGTTCTCCAGTGATAAAGGGTCGCCGCTTCTTCCAAGTAAATTCGATCCAGGATCAAGACCGAGGCAAGTCGCCATGCATGATCACTATTCTATATCGCCAGTGATCGCTGTTTCGATTATTATACTACACAAAACTTAAGTAACACTACACTGCCGAGTGAGGCCTAAAAAAAGAAATATTGGCCTAGGTAGGCCTAATTTAGGACTAGTAATTTTGGCCTAGTAATTTTAATAAAAAAAGTCATAACAAGGATCTACATCTATAATTAAATCACATGATCTAGCCTACTCCTAGAACTATGAGGCTCCACTACGTGGAGCCTCATAGTTCTAGGAGTAGATCTAGCCTACTATTTCATTGTTTTGTTCATGACGTGCATGGTCATGATGGTCATAGCTTGAAGCTAGACCAGCATGACCAGCTACTGGGGGATAGTTAGCTCAGTACAAACAGTATCTGTGGCCTCGGTATTCATGGTATTGCTGCGCTATACGTTTGGTCGGCCACACAGCATGCCGCCCAACCTACTGAGTACTGAGGAAAGTGTCATTTTCTGGCGCACGAAACTGCACTTGGTTCATTGGTTGTATTCTATGATGTCTCGGCTTTTCCCCTTCAGATTGATTAGGCTACATGTATGGGTTACATGTATACTTAAAGGAAAAAAATACCATACTCAGTTTAAAAGTGAGTCTATGATTTATGTGTTTTGTTAATGTTATGTACCTGTCCAATGAATTTTTATTTACACTGACAAACTTGAAACATACCGTACAAAGGCGTACATGTGTGATATTAAAACAATTTTTTTTTAAAACAACTTGTTTCCGCTGATCCTTTTAACTACAAGATAAATTATAAAAAATTGCATGGACTGCTAGATGTCTCTTTTGCATAGATTTCACCTTTTTGCATATGGATACATTTTTTGGCATCTGTCTTTTGCACATTTGCAGTTTGCGTATTTCAGTATTCTTGTTTGTTTTCTTATGTGGGCTTGTTATAGTGAGGAATTTTGAACTATAGCATCTTGTCAAGAAACAAACTGTGTTAGTGCATTTTATAGAGCCTACTAAAAGCTTTTTTTTATACAAAGTATCTGAATTCTGGAGATGGATTTTCAGATTCTATTCCCATACATGCCATAGAAAATATTCTGAACAGTATTGAGAATAGTAAAGGGAATGTGTCCCTTTTTATAATTATAGTTTGATACGCAGCTTTACAAACTAACGCCTGGTAGATATTTTCTTGCTTATTAATAAATACCCCAATACAAAATGAAAGCAACATCAACAGATTCATTAAAGGGTCACTGCGTCCTGAAATCTCTGAAAATGTCACGTTTTGGATTGTTTACTAATATAAATCCTATTTCAAACATCTGGTTGAAAGGAAACCAACCTAATGTCTTACTGTTCCCAAGAAAAGACCAACAAAAAAACCTGATTGTACATCGTTTTCATACAGTGTACGATACACATTGTGTGTGTCTAGTATTACACACGTATAGCACTGTGCTCACGAACAGCGGTGACCAATCACCAATGCACAAAATGTGATTTCTTACACGTCCGCAAAAGGCAAACCCTTACAGCTGGAATCACAGCCAGCACAGACTGCTCGACTTTTTAGGGTCACAAAAATGGACCCTGAAAGTTGTTCTCGCAAGAATAACACAAGAATAGTACAAAAGTGCCCAGTTTTTAAAGGGTAGTTGTGTGGATGTTTATATCCTACTTTTAAATGTTCTTTCCGATTAACATCATTTTGATTGAAATGCGTTTTGTAGCCCGATTGGGAATATACCAGGATGCACTATCCCTTTAAGAACAGTTGTGATCATGACAAATATCCAATCTGAAAGAGAACCAGACAACATAGTTTGTTTTGCCCCCCAGAGCTCAAACACAGATCTCCGCAGCTGAGCAGATTAAACGCCGCCCTCATCACCCAGGGCTGGCCATTGATTGCGCTGTGGTTGAGGGCGCTGTTGCTCCCAAGCCAGCGCCCTACCATCACCATCACCATCATCATCACCATCATCCTCATCATGGTGTGTTGAGCTCTCAGATCCTGAGTGCCGACACGGATGCCGCACAGCTTGTCAGCGCCTTGAAAGACAGACCAACATGCACCGGCGTGGTGCATACCACGCAGCCGCTGCCGCAGCATTGGCACAAACTAAGCAGGTATTGCTACACCCTCCTCCAGCTGGTCATCTTATCTTCTGCACCTGACTTCTTGCACCTGACTTCTTGCACCTGACTGAGCTTGGATCATTACACTGCACTGTCATTGTTTGTTTTAATCACAATCAACCACACACTTGGCCCAAGACGTCAGTGATCAGTAGTGATAGTTGCATTGTTGTAGAGCGACCTTGCATGCATCTTTGCATCTGTTATGTCTGTTTCTGTCTTTGCTGCATTCAGGAACTGTGCTCATGTAGGGAACGCTTTCTTAGAGCTATTAGTGTGATTGAGGGCACATGCATGACACGTGCACTTTTACAAAAGTCAATCCACACAATGTCCTTTTGAATATGAAAGGAATGCACTGCATGTTGACACAGTAAATGTGGCTTAAGTTTTCTCGTGATAGAAAAATTGTTGATTGTTCACCTCTGAGGTCAAAGTGCAGCGTAAAGCCTGGTTCATACTGCAGAGAAAGCAAAAGCGCAGCGAAATTTGTGACATAACAATAGGGCTTGCTCAATGACAGCCATCGCTGTAGGACTGCAACTGCGTATTTTATGCAATCAAGCACGCATTATGCAGTGTTGACAATGTTCTAAACATGCGCGCTTGTTGCTCGAAATACGACGCAGCCGATGCGCGTTATGCAAGTTGACGCTCAAAATGCCGATGCACGTGGATTGTCGGTAGGAAATGACGTCATTTGAACGAGACTTATACGGTTGAATCGCGTCCGCCATTTTTGATGACGTGAATTTTTCTTTGCGCTTGCTTTTTCGCGTGAAGTATGAACCGGGCTTAAGGAAAAGTATAAAACATCAATGCTACTTGTCCTTGTCATAAATTCATGCAATTCAAATGGCACAGTACTTTTAGTGTACATGAATCCTTTGTTCCCATTCAGCGTGTTCAATCAAAATGTGCCATTCTTTCTGAACCCAACAGTTGCTCTTCAGCAGTGGACAACATAGATTTTGTTTGACATTTTGGTTGTAACGTTCATTTCCTGTCATAAGATTTAGTTGGATTCAGAGTGTACAAATGCCTAAATGAATTCAAGTGCATTGTTCATAAAAAGAGCAAACATGTATCTGATTTTTTTTATTTCGAAAGTCATCTGCACACTGACCTCATGTGGTTTGTTATAGTCTGAAATGTCCTACATGTAGTTTGTGATCAAAGGTGGATATGGGGGGGGGGAAACGGGGGCCATGCCCCCCCCCCAAAAAAATATACCAATTGTTGTTTTTGCTCACACCACCATGTTTTCCTCAAAACAAATTGGTTAAAGTGGTCAGAAATAGCCTCAGATCGCACCACAGAGCTTCTAGAATCCAAAAAAAATGTGGGCCCCTTGAGCGGGCCCCGAACCCCACGCTGTAATTTTTCGGACCCACTTTTTGGGGGACCAATTTTTTTTGGTCCCCCCAAAAAAATTGTGTTCTGGATCCGCCCTTGTTTGTGATTTGTCTGTACCAGCATGAAGCTTTGATTTTATTCACCGCATCCAATTTGTTTGTATCGGTCAATACATATGACTTCCATACCATGCACTGTTGCATGTTTAGCCTACTCCTTGCATTGTTCAGCCTGTATACTTGAGTATCGTTCAGATCTTGGTGTCTTTTGGTGCCTGGCAGCCTGGGTGTATATGCAGTTGACCTGATGTTATTTGTGAGCACCTAACCTTGCATGAATGGTTCATGTAGCCCTTTCTGATCAGACCTCCATCAGTCCATCTGCAGGATGCACTGTTTTCACACATTGGTTAAAGCGCGTGCGAAATGTGTACCGTATTTGAAAACGTGTGAGTGCAAGAGTTCCACTGTACTTGTGCCTGGAGTCCATGTAACTTCATAACGTAGTCTTGCCTGAAGTCCAACATGGTTTAAAACCAATGAAATAAATGTTTAAGACATGATAATATATATGTACATCACTTCTGTTAGAAATTTGTTTCAATAAAATTTAACAGTATAACTAACAAAATCCATAGCAAGTGTGCCAAAAGAAGTTCGAAACAAGACATGATCCACTTCAAGCTAAATCAACCACTTACTTGTGATGCTAGCAATGCACATTAACTCTTACCCTTTCAAGGGCGGATCCAGGGGGGGGGGCATGGGGGCCATGGCTCCCCGCCCCCCCCAAAAAAAACCTACAATTGTTTTTTTTTTTGAAGTGACGTCACAGTAAAGGCTGGCACTGCTCACACCACCATCGTTTCCTCAACAACAAAAATGGTCAGAAATTGCCTCAGATCGCACCACAGAGCATTTACAATCCAAAAAATAGGGCCTATTTGGGGACCCAAACGCCCCGAATCCCTCGCTGTAATTTTTTGGACCCACTTTTTGGGGGACCAAAATTGTTGTTTGCCCCCAAAAAATTGTGTTCTGGATCCGCCCTTGTACCCTTCTAGATCTTTCATAATCTACCAGGTTTTGGTGGATTTTTAAGTTAGCTTCAAAGGTAGGGTACCGTACATCATTGGTACTTTGTGCATTATTTTTGTTTGAAGCAACAAAAGTGGTCAAAATCTAAAGAAGTGTGCTTAACAACTAACCTGATGAAACTTCATCTCAATGAATTGAATGCTGTATGTTCCGAGAAAACAATATTCTAGGATCTGGATTTCAATTCAAAAGCTGCCGAGTCATGTTTTGAATTGCACCCGAAATCAGCGTCTGGGACACGTTCTCAAACAGCCGATTGCAGACCTACGCGATGTCATGCACTGAACCGACGAATGATAGCAACCGCATGCATGTGGTCGTGTCAACGCTTGCACACACTGATTCGCAGATTCGCCGAATTACAAACCAACTTCTAGGGCCAAAAAAAAAAGTCTCCAGTTTCTGGTATGCGCGCGCGTCGCCGTAGCCATGTGCGTCGGCAAAATGAAAAAGTTTTTTTTTTCAATGTAAGATGATGTCTCAAAACTGCCAAACTCCTAGTTTGACTGGAATCCTGCTGCTGCACAATTTTAACGTGTTTTTAGATGAGGTTACGATCGAGTATAAGCTTTATGTGGCCTCTCTGGACTCCCATATATTTTGCACTAAATTTAGTTGGGCACCATTTGCAGTCATCAGCCGACATTTGAAGAAAAAAAAGCTGCGTCGCCGCACCACTTTTGGGGTAAGCTCCATACCAGAAACCGGAGACTTTTTTTGTGTGGCCTAACAGATAATTTAAAAGATGTGTCCAAGCATCTTTGGAAATGACCTTCTTTTATTGTTTTCTTCAAAATGACAACATGCCAGAAAGAATAATTTCACAGGGAGTTTAGTGCTGTTACTATCTTTAAACCCCTACCATGCCTTTTACAAAAGCTAGTCACCAACAGTCAGGTCGTATTTCAAAATTCAAGCAAGCACTGTGACTAGTCAGAATGAGTCAACAGACAAAAACAGGCAAGTGGTAGGCACAGCTGGCTTATTAATCACCTACAGTCAAAGCATAGCTATATCAAGTTACATAAACAGTCACAGCCAGTCAATCCTGCTAGGAGCTCTTAACTGTTAGGAGCTCTTAACAGTCACTTGATTGATTTTGACTGCAAGGACAACTTCGCATGTATGTTTGCACAGGAGGGTTTTTAAACAAGGACTGTATATTATAATTTACGGCACATGCACTGTACGTTGACTTTCGCTATTCCATGTTTTGTGTGTTTGGTGTTAGATTGTTATTGTATGTACGTTGTATGTATTTTTGGCTTCTTTTTTTTTGGGGGGGGTGTTTCAACTTGTTTGTACCATCTCAGTGCAATTTTGCATTGTGGAGATCTAATAAATAAGCCACATCAGAAGTACAAATTGTATACAACTGCACTGAATGTACATATGCACAGCGTTGTCAGCACATCAGGTTTAACATTCAGCTACATGCATGCAAAACAATAGGGGGTAGGCCTATTAAGTTTGGGACAGGACTTCTGGTTCTACTTAAACTTTACATATAAAGTGTGAACAACTCTTCCTTTTCTTTTCTTTTTTTTTGCATGAAAAAAAATGTAGTTGCAGTGATCAGTACCCCAATGACTTAAGTACATCGTGTTTATTATATGCCTTGGCATGCTTGGTGAAAATCTGTTGATCTTAATGTGGCTTAAATTATAATAAGACTCTTTCGCACACCAAATTTCTCCCTGGATCTGGGTGAAATCCCTAAACTTTGGCAATCCCTTTCACCCTGGCAAGAATCCAATGTGGATCTGGCGCCCTCAATAGGTAACATTCAGCCAGGGGCCAGGGTTTAGAAGCTCTACCCATGAAGAGAATAGAAAAATATGGCTGACTTGTGTGCCGACCAGCTTAAGTGAATATGCAGTATGTCCCTAAAAAAGTGTCCGTCTGACTATTTTTGAAATAACTACAAAACCATGCAGTCAATTTTGAAATTTTTGATTGTGCAGATACTCCTAAGCCTTGGCCTCAACCCCTATGAGTTTCATTTAATTTCATTCACGTATCACTACACAATTGTCAATTGATCACAACATTTTTTGACACTGTGACCAAGTTCCTTGCCTTGATCAATTTCAGTGCTGTTATGTAAAGCTGTGTAAAGTCCTTCATGTTGTGAAAAGGGCTGCGGTTGGGATTGGAATCATTTGCCTGGCTATCAGTCATCATGGCAAGACCTCAGTTGAATGCTCAAGGGCAAATGATTCCAATCCCAAACCACATCAGCCTTCTTTTCTCAACATGCAGGATTTTACACAGCTTACATAACACAGCACTGAAATTGAAAAGTGTCCAAAAATGTTGTTGTGATCAATTGACCATTGTGCAGTGAGGCGTTAGGAAAACTAAATGAAACTCATAGGGGTTGAGGCCAAGGATAAGGAGTATCTGCAAAATTAACAAATTTCAAAATGACTTCATGGTTTTGTAGTTATTTCAAAAATAGTCAGACGGACTTTTTTTGGGACATACTTAGTATGTCTTGCTGACGTGTGTTCAAGCCGATCTGGATCCATTCATGTTGGACTCGTGTTGATTTCAACAAGGGTCATTAACAAAGATGGTAAAGTGAAGTAGGCCAATACAGGGCGAGTCCAAAATAATGAAACCCAAATGTTGGGACCATTGTTTTAGTGAAGTTCTGCATGTTACACTTTCAAAATCTAGGATATGAAAGCCCAATTCATAAGCTTTCTTTTAGTACAAGAATCATTCAAATCACTCATGTAATTTTCAAGTTACACAATTCTCAACACAAACACTGTTTTAAAGTTCTGTCCACGGATAACAAAAAGGTAAGTGTTCTTTCAGCAAAACGAAAACAAATCACATAGGGATATGTGTGAATTGTTTTCGTTTTGTTGAAAGAACGCACAGTTTTTTGTGTGATTTGTGGACAGAACTTTAAAATGGTGGTTGTGTTTAAAATTCCGTAACTTGAAAAGTACATGAGTGATTTGAATGATTCTTGTACTAAAAGAAAGCTTATGAATTGGGCTTTCTTATCCTAGATTTTGAAAGTGCTACATGCAGAACATCACTAAAACAATAGTCCCGACATTTGGGTTTCGTTTTTTTTTAATCACCCTGCATAATTGATAATCATGTTCATTATACCCGGGTGTGCGCTTTGTACCTGTCCCACTATCAAAGATGGTACATTGAATTGAGTTTTGACCTCTTATCAATCTGTATGTTTTCATCTCCTATAGAGTTCTCTTGGTGTCTGCACGGAAGGTTCCATTCTCCCTGTACTCAGTCTTGCCGTACAGCCGACGCAGTCAACATGGATTACTCAGGTAATATGGCGTCGGGTGCCAGGAAGAAGGTCATAAGGGCGAAACATGGGTCAAAAGCAGATTTTTCGGGTAATCGATAGAGCTTGGAGATATCTTTCATTTGATATACATATTCATAGCTGCCAACTAGTACGATTTTTTCGTAATTATTACGAATTGTTTGTTAAATTACGAAAATACGATTTGCCACCAAAACATTACGAATTTCCAATTTTCTACCTAACGAAAAAAAGAAAGAAGGAAAGTATCGTTTTTGACCGAAAACTTCTGGCGAAATGTCGCGATAATGGATGGACTGGTGACAAGTCTAATAAGAATGCAGTCAAGCACCTGATAGACATCAATGCAGTGTGCGCAGTGGAGTACTTGAGGACCAGACTAAAACTGTTTTTCAATGGTGTGTCATTTGTGTGCATCTCATGGATGTGTGGTTGTGTGTACTGTATGTGAGTACTTTTCAGTGACGATCGTGAGCACATTTGGTCACTTATTGCCGGGATGAGACCCATCAGTTCGAGAATTTAATCATGGAATTTAATAAGAGTATGGTTGGAATAATTGGTAATAGAGTTTGAGTTTGTCACAACGGACAGAAAAGATAAATCAGCATGCGTTTGCAAGGTATGTTGGCGGGATATTTCTATTGCATACGGTGGCCATAGATCATTGTGTGTAAAACCATGATACGAACTCGAAACTCAACATCGATAGCATGCATCTCCAAAAAAATATGCGCACATGTTATTGATGTTATTATTTATTTGACTTCATCAAACAAATACAGACATTAAAACAAAATTAATTTAAAACATTTTTTTTATTTTTTTTTTTATTTTTTATTTTTTTAATTATCTTTTGGCCTACAGTACATTATTATTCACAACAAGAAGGGTATGCACATGTATGTGTACATGTAAACCATGTACCTGTACTCGATGTTGGTAAAGCTTTTGATAAAACGAGAAGTTGAAAATGACCGCGCGGGTTGATTACTAATTGGGATTTTGAAATGTTGGCAGCTAAGCATATTGTCTCAAGGGGCTACGTCATTGTGACGTAATTAACAGTAAACAATAGACAGAAGGTTTTTTTTCATTATTTGTGTCCGGCAAAAGGTCGTAAGCGTGTAATTCTAATGGAACAAAAAATGTCCCAAGAGTGCTAACGTCCCACTCAAGTGGGTACACAAAGCCAATTTTGTTCCAGGCAAAAGGTCCTATGGATTTTACATGCCGCTTAAGCGTACGTTTAAGGCTTGGGAAGTTCCTGGTAAAAGGTCTTCAGCATAAAAATCAACTAGATTATCTCCAAAAGTGCTTTTTGCGTGCCTAGGCTGCTTACGTCCTTTTTCGTGTCACACTACGACGTAATCCCACTCATTGGATACTCAGTGTAGTGGAAGGTAGGGCTGTCCGGAATATATATACATGTATCGAATACTCGAATATTCGATCATCAACTGAATATTCGAATAGCTTGCTGCACGCAAATTTAACTGGCACACTCTGTGTACAACTTTTTACTGGCGCAGCACGCAGCTAATTTGGTCAAACGCAGTTTCGAGTATTCTACTAAATTATTCGAAAGTAGACAGCCCTAGCGGAAGTTAGTTTATGCCTGAATGGCCGCCTAACCCACTACTCAATTATTGTTAGTAATATTCAGGGGTGTGAAATCTCCGCTACTTAGCGGATTTCCGCTTTTTTGTTCAGCGTGCCACATTTTGTTTTCCGCTTTTTTTCTTCCGATGGTCCAGATTTCCCCCCGCTTTTTCCCCCGCGCGTAAGCTTTGATTTTATTTCCGTTTATTTTATTTTCCGCCGCCGCCGAACGCACGCGATCCGCTCTCTACAACATACACGTAGCTCTGAGATGGGGTGCGTGCAAGCGAGTATTCAATGTACATGTACATGTACATTTACGTACGTACGTGTGTACTATACGATGCCATGTGCATGCATTTTCAGCTCGAAGCCGCGTGTGTACACAACGTGTAAACAGCATCCGGGGAACCAACAGTCATGGCGCTGTGATTGGCTGCAGATAAATATGAATATTCACACATGCGCCATGAAGCGCGTTGGGACTCTTTGCGGCCGTTCCTGTGTCTATGCATGTGTTGACACGCGATGATCTCCACAATAACTTGCTGTAAACATCGTCTTGTTGCAAATATAAAGCCTTGAAATAAGACTAGTAAATTGTCGCCGACGTGCCGCGCCGGTATACCGGTAGAGGGCATCATGCGGGGCAAAGTTCATGTGTGCATTTCATTGCATGCACGCATCCTGCTAGATGCTGCGTATTCCGCTGCATGCTGATACGTACGTTAGTGTGTCGTTTCAAATGTTTCGAACGTATTTTGACATTAATTCCGCAAGATGTCAGTGCAACACAAATGTGTTATTATCCCAAGAGGTTCGGAGTTTGATTCGGACATTGACAAGACCGATCCTCAGGTTACGAATCCGTGGAAATGGATTTGGATGGAACACATGGTTAACTTAATGGGCAGAAATTAGGCGACTCGATCAGAAGCCGGGACACGCGATGACGATGTGTATCAATCATCTGCAGTAAGGAGTTAAAATATGGAAAACGGCGGTTGAATTTCCCAGTTTTCATATACAAGTTGGCCATTTAGGCAGTTTCAAGCCAATATGAAGGAAAAGTTAACTTAAAAACATGCATAAATTGCAAAACATTTTCGACCAATAGTTGGCCCAGGCATGCCACTTTTTTTTTTTTTTTGCCAGGGGGCTTTAAAATGCACCACAGAGCATCTACATTTCAAAAAAATTTCGGGGCCCTTGGGCGGGCCCCGAACCACACGCCGTAAGGGCTTCGCGCTCGCAGGTTCGGTTATTTACAGGTTCAGCTATTTTCAGCTATTTTTTTTGGACTCCACTCACACCCCTGAATATTTTTTTATATGGTTTTGAAACCAAAGAATTCTCAAAAGCCCCCCAGGTGCTGTAGCTTGCAAGCTTGAAGAAACCTGTAGAGAGACGAACATGATAAGAAGTTACAGTTTTAGAAGTTTTAGAAACCCCAGATAAATATTTGGGGGAAACCCACAGACCCAGATTGGGACTGAAAACCCAATCCACATGTGGGCCTTGGTGGGATTTGAACCAGGGCATAGAGGCGAAAGGGGAGGGGGAGGGCTATTGGCCAAATTGGAACCCCGGCCCCAATAAGCATGAATCTTTTTTTATAGTTCTAACAATATTTAGTATCTTACATTTATAGTGCAATGCATGTGCGCTAGTTCTTCCTCGGCAAATAGACCCAAAACAGACTGTTCAAATTTGTGAACATTTCTTTTGGAACTGGCGTGAGTCTACTGTGGAGCGCTGTGGTCCAATGGTTATGGCGTTCGACTCACATGCCGTGGTACGTGGGTCCGAACCCTGACTGGAACATGGTGCTTGTATTCTTTGGCAAGACACTTTACTACAATTGCCTCTCTCCACCCAGGAGTATAAATGGGTACCTGTGAGGGTAGAGACCAGAAGGCACTGATCTCAAACTGCTGCAAAAACTGATCTCGTGGCCTGATGAACAGGGGTAATAATTGTAAAGCGCAGTTTGAAACCTTTGGTAAAAAGTGCTATATAAGCACCACTTGGAACCTGAGGAGAACTCTGACCGATAACTTCATTTTTGACATTTACAAAATGCCCTTAAGTGATTGTTTTCTTTGGTTATTTTTCAGGAATGACTCTGATACTATTGCCTCTGGCCGCACCAGGAAGAGTTCTGGAACCAGAGGCGTGGGGAGCGATACCATGTCCGGTCTCACTGGCATAGAGCTTGGTGATGGAGGAAAGGTATGATACTGACTATCACTGGAACCTGAGCTGCTTAGGTTGTCATTTTAACCCTAACCCTGCCAGATGCAAGTGGGGAGTGTGGCCTAGTGGTTAGGGTTCGTGACTTATGATCAGAGGGTCAGGGGTTTGCATCCAGCTGCTGGTCATATGTTGTGTTCTTGGGCAAGCCACTTCACCCCCACTTGCCTCTCTCCACCCAGGAGTATAAATGGGTACCGGCATTAGCTGGGGAGTAACCTGCGATGGACTAGCATCCCATCCAGGGGGAATAGAAATATTCTCAGTCGTTTCATGCTACTGAAACCGGAGCTAAACGCCGGCCTGATGGGCCACATTGGCTCGTGACAGACTTTATTTTTTTGTACTGCTAGATGCAAAATAGTGCAGCAGGTGTAAATGTCTGTGAGACCCTGTTGCTTTGGGCTATCAACACCTGGGACCAATTTTCTGTTAGCAGAACTTATGTCTATTTCACAGGGACCGTAAGCACGGTTAAAGCCATGCTTACCTCAGAAACAAATTTTTCTTTGAATTAATAGCGAGATAACAAGTTGTGATGTAGGAATCACCATTTGCACACAATCGTTGTACTGTTTGGTTTCGGTATTTGTGAACCTGTATTGGGCGCTTCAAAAGAGTTTCTCAAACCAAATAACGCTCTCGCATTGTGTCCACTATACCTCAAAATGCCTAATTGTTTTACCATTCCCATTTTTTTTTCTTAATAGGAAATTTCGTACCGTCACCTTCTTGTTCCAACTAAGGACCAGATTGCGTACCGCAGACAGCTCAATCTAGAGCTCCTTGGCTCCCCACATTCCCCTGCAGTGAGAAAGATTCCAGGCCACCCACTATCCATACAGTGGGACAGAGGTAAATAGTGGGGGATTCTAAGCCTTGACGTTGTCTCATTTAATCCTTTCCTTACCACGGGTGACTTTTGTCGACAAGGAACTACCCTAGCTACTTAGTGGACCAGGACTTTAGTCGACCAGGAAACCACACACAAAACACCCTCAGCACAGATGTATTTACTGCTTCTCAGCAAGCTGGCATGTTGGTATGTTTGGCTGCCCATACGTCAACCATATACCAGCTGAAAGAGTGTTTTCGGATCGTTCTAATGGTGTAGTTTACTCATAGTGTTACCATTACAACAATTTAAGAAACGTGCTTGGCAGAAGTATCCACGCACAATTTGAGGTATGGAGTGCCATGTGTGATCATGTGGTGAAATAGCTTGCAGTTTGATAACTGGGACCAGATCAACAAACTGGCATATCTTTCATAATTTTGCACATACGGCCTTGATATTCACATTACATAAAAGAGTAAAGTTCAAGGAACAAACTTTACACACAACATATTTGATTTCAATCACTCCTTGGCAGAGAAAATCTGGGTTGAAAAAAGTGAGTTTTGAACTTGTGGTCCATTTTTCATGCTCTAGTGATTTCCGCATGACTGAGCAAACAATTTGGTCCTGGGGAGAGCCAAGTCAATAAACAATGTGGTAATGAAAGGGTTAACCTTGGTATGCAAACATACATTCTGTGCAATGATGTCCTTTCAGTCAAAATGAGTCAAGTGACTGTTTTTAACCGTTAAGAGCTCCCAGCCAACACTAAGCAGGATTGAGTGGTTGGGACTGTTTATGTAGCTTGATTGATAAGCCAGCTGTGCTTACCACATGCCTGCTTTTGTCTGTTGACTGAATTTAACTAGTCACAGTGCTTGCTTGAAGTATGATCTGACTAGCCTGTGACTAGCCTGTGTATAAAGGCATGGCAGGGGAGAGGATTGATTCTTTTGACTGTCTGTGACTGTTCAGACAGCAGGAGATTTAACCCTATAACATGTATAAACTCCTAAGATGTAGCCTCAGTCCTGCAAAATCCTCTGTTCTTTCTTGAATGTGGTCCTTGGAAGGGTGACCACTGCCTCAATCCTGCAAAATCCTGCGGCAATCACTGTCAATATGTTGAGGCAGAGCCAGTGACATCCTGGAGCAGTGCAGAGGATTTCAGTTATAATATAGGCCTAAATTCATGCACAGCTGAGCATAAACAACACAAGGTCCGGCTTAAGACCTTGACACAGTGCATCTTCAGAAATCCTCCAAAATCTCCAGTTTGCAAAGAGGATTTTGGAGGATTTGGGAAGGTTAGGCTAAATGAGATTATGGGCTCAGTGCACTTGACATTGGATCCGGTGAAATTGGATGCAAAAAGAATCAGGTGCATTTTATTTCATCCGGTCGCCCGGTGTGTGGTCAGATCGGTCCGATTCCAGCGCACACCTCTCCGATCTGTACGTCCGATGGCCCGATGATCCGATGAACTGGTAAAATCAGAGAGTGAGTGCGGTGGGTTTTTTAACAGCACGCACCTACCCTTCTGTGTACTCATTCGGTGTGAATAGCTGGAATGGTTGGTACTTGTATGCCTGATCGATTGTCAGGGTTTGTGAATTGTTTAAAATGGAGTAAAAAGTCGAAGAGCCCTTCTTAAGCTATTTATGTTCAATTTTGCTGACTATATTTGCCAGGTGACTCTGATAACTCACTTCTAGAACACACCACAAACGTCTTGCCCTATGACCCCATGGAGCTAGATGACCCTGGATTGCATGCTGGGAAGCACAGCAAGGTCATGACCTTTACATCATATATGGTAAGCACTGATCTCTAGATAGTTTGTTGAGAACATAGACAGCAGTCGCTTGGTTGCCATCTTGAGAGGCCTGAAGTGTACAGATATTTACCAATCAATTCTTGATACAGGATGCTGTTCTGTATGCCTTGAACATACACAGTGGCTATAAAAAGCTGTGTTGGACAAACAAACAAAAATGTCATTTTTCAAGAATTAGGAGTTAGTGTCCATGTAGCCACCGTTGTTTCAGGACCAATTGTCCTACACTCAACCAAAAAGGAAAGTCCCCCCTTAATACTTTTTGTTTTACTCAAAAACTACTGGGCACATCTTGCTCAGCTGATCAGTACAGAAATTCCTTAGCAATCCAGCCATACTCTTTGTTTGGCCCAAAACAGTGATAATGTGTACAAAATTATGCAATTTATGACAAATGGTACCAAAAAAAAAGTTGCACTTTTGTATACGTGCAAGGTGAGTATGAACATGATGAAGCACAACTTGCACATATACAAAAGTGCAACAGTTTTCGGTATCATTTGTCATAAATTGCATAAATTCTTACACATTATCACTGTTTTGGGCCAAATTATTATCATTATTATTTATTCGGCCAAGATTTCATACAACAAAAAAACAATACAGAGAACATGACAATGATCCTTTACAGAACAAAACTAGTGGAACATGTAAAAAGGATAAAAACATGAACAAGACAAACCCAAATTATGATGGCCAGGATAACGAGTATGGCTGGATTGCTAAGGTGTTTTTGTACTGATTAGTCCTTATTTGAGCGAGAGGTGCCTAGTAGATCTTGAGTTAGACAAACAAGTATTGGAAGGGGGAACTTTCTTTTTTGGTTGAGTGTATTTCTGTTCCTGTAAAACTTTGGTATTGTTATTTTCTTTGTGGTAATAAGCACTACAGTGGAACGGCGCTATACCGAACACCGCTATACCGAACATTCGGCTATACCGAACATCGTCCTTGGCTCCTGATTTTTGTGTAGGAAACATACCGAACATTGTTGTTGAAAAATGTCAACAGAAGAGCGACAAGTGGCTAATATTTCCCCATAGAGGGGGAATGCCACCCATTGCTAAAGGTAGTAAGCTCAAACACTGTCATTACATAATTCAATAGTCGGCACGTGTTCAAAGTCGTCTTTCAGTAACTACCAGGGCATGCAGGGTGAAGTTCTGAAGGGTGCTATTTTAATATTGAAAAGTGAGTACCGGAACACCGGCAGCTTTAAATCGTTATACCGACCGATCGCTATTATGAACAATTTCTATGGATCCCATGATTTCTATGGCAATCCACTGTATACTAATTTCTTGCAGCAAAGTTTTATTTTTACATCAGATTTACAAAAATATTTAAATGTATGCAAGGCCCCAATGGAAACCACTTTTAACTTTTTGGGCATACCCTAGATATCAAGTGGTTACGGTGTTTGACTCATGTATGATGGTGCATGGGTTCGAACCCTGCCAGGAACATGGTGTTTGTGCCCTTGGGCAAGACACTTAACTACAATTGCCTCTCTCCACCCAGGAGTATAAATGGGTACCTGTGAGGGTAGAGGACCGAATGTGCGCTGATATCGGCTGCCGCATGGTCCCGTGGCCTTATGAACAGGGGGAATAATTGTAAAACGCTTTGAGATTGTTTATAGAACATGTAGAAAGCGCTGTGTAAGCATTACAGTTAAAAAAAGAATTGTGTAATGAATGTAATAATTGAAATAAAATAAATGTTTGCCCTTGTACCTCAGCTATAGTGATGTAAATCAGAGAAAGCAGTCAAGACTTTACATCTTTGTTATTTTTTTTTTTGACAAGGTGTCCATTTTAGATTACACCAAACCCTCAGAGCTGAAGAAAGACATCAATCAGAAGTTCAAGGACAAGTTTCCACACATAGACTTGTCCCTCAGCAAACTACGAAGGTAAGCTGTGATGACCAGGGGAACAAAATGGCTCCTTGTTGTCCCATGTAGTCACCCTGTAGAGGTGTAACACTACCAATATGTATCACAGTACTGAGGTCATTATAAAATATACATAATGATTCGCATAATAAACATTTTTTAAGACGTGCATGTACTATTGTCATTAAAGTTGTCCACATGTTGTACATTTGCATTGTTTCTCTGATGTTTGCAATGCTATGACAATGTCAAGGTGCTTTTTGGTTCTCAACTTTTGTTTCGGAGTAATCTTTCTAAATGGTTTAATGATTCAGACAAATGATTCACACTCCTAGTCTGTAATCTCCTTGACCTTTACTAGATGATGGATGTGCAAGATTTGAAAAGTGCATTTTCAGGTTTATTCACTGAGCTCTTGAAAGCTCCGTCATGGACATTACATAACAATGGAATTGCCCTAATGATCTCTTAGGATGCATAGACTTGCATGCCATGTCAGTGGCACTACCCACCCTATTCTGACAGCCCCTACCTTAATTTTTTATAGGAAAAATGAGATAAAAACACCCAAAACCATCAATTTCAACCTTTTACCTTGACTACATGCAGACCCCTCCATATGATCATACACAAAAAAAATTGGCAAAAAAAAATTTCCTACCTACCTACCCTATTTTTGAATGCCATGTAATCGGAAACAGAACAAATTTTTTTTTGGCCTTGGTTATGTCATTGGTTATGTCATTGGTTATGTCATTGGTTATGCTGCAGTTTTGGTTTCAGGGTTTAACTGTTTGTGAATTCTTGAACATTTGTTCATTAAATATCGCTGTACTTGCAGTATCAAGCGAGAAATGAAGAAGATAGCTGTTGATGCAGGCACTATGGAGATGCTGACTCTAGCCCATGCCTATGTGTACTATGAGAAACTAGTCCTGTATGGCAAAATCAATAAGGAGAACAGAAAGTTATGTGCAGGTGAGTACCAAAAGCAATCATGATGATAGGACATATGCATTGAATACAGTGTTGTAGTACTCGTACTCGGTACCCGTACTCGAGTACTACTTAAGTACTTTTTTAGAGTACTTGTAAAGTACTCGTTCTCGAATGATGGTACTCGTACTCGGGTAGCAAAGTACTCATACGTGACATGTCGAAATTGTACTCGATCATCAAAGTTCTCGTACTCGAAAAGCAGTACTCAACAAAAATATGGTATAGCTTGACTTACCGTACCAAGACCTTATTTTATCGATACTTTCATTAAAATGGTTGATCGGCTTGCGGAGAAATTGAAGTTTCCTGATTTTTCCCCTGTGCATGTCCAGACAAACACATTAAACAGCTAGCCGGGAGTGGGTCTGTCTATCGACTGGGCATGGGTCGATTACGCATGACGAACCATGGCCGAATTCAGAAATAGAAGTACTCGTACTTGTACTGGTAAAACGAGTTCTCGTACTCGAACTCGGAAGTACAAGTACTCGTACTCGGAGACCTGTCCTTGTACTCACTCGTACTCGTACTCGTACTTGTACTCGTACTCTGTAATCTAAGTACTCGGCAGTACTCAGTACTCTCAAAAAAAGTACTCGACTACAACACTGATTGAATATGACCATATACATGTAAGAAAATATTGTTGGTGTCCCCTAACGTGCCTTGCTAGAGCAAAAAATTTTCCCTCAAATTTCTCAGAAAGTGAAATTTCATCAAGCTCTAAACATTCCTGTTCGTAAATCTTAGTTTACCTACCCGTTACAATCTTAACAGAGAAATTTTATTATGGCTTGATTTTCCGATTTTAGTTTGAAGTGCACAATGAACCCTTTTAAAATGCACCCAGAAATACAAAAATAATTTTCTGCCAAACTTGTAGTTGTGTATGTGAGTGGAGATAATAATAGTTTATCAGAATTTGTCAATTTTAAAGAAATTCTTATGTTAACTTGATGTTTTCCGAGATTTGTTCAAGTGCGCCACGTTGGGAAACACTCGGTTGATTTTGTGCCCAATTTCCAGATGCCACCGATTTTGAATTTCGGACTAAATTTCATTTCGCTGAAATTGTTCACATGGGTTCAACAGCAAGCATTAATAAGGTAAAAGTACCAGTATTTAACTGAATGAATTTGAAGTTCGTCAACACAGAGGTTTGGCAACACTGCATGAGGAAAGTTGAGGGAAACGTTAATGTGCACCACGTTAGGGAACTCCACTAAACAGGGTGGTAAAAATAACCGGAATGGCAAACTTCACTACCCTGAGACTCAAACCACATATACCAATGCATGGAGAATCTTTTTAGAAGAAAAATGAAACCAAGATGGTCCGATTCGGTCTAGTAGTTTTTGTTCTAGAGCCTATTTTGTGAAGCAAGGTGGGGGTCATTTTTGACCTGATGAATTACTAAACCGCGCCCGGGAATTTGACTTGCATTGTAATTGATAGAGGGATTGTTATGTAATAATACCCACACGAAAGAAGTGTGCTACACAAAATAACATCTGCAGCAAAAACTACTGGACCGAATCTGAATATTCTGGTATCATAATTCTTCTATAAGGATTCTCCGTCAATTGGTACATGTGGTTTGAGTCTCGTGGTAGTAGAAGTATGCCATTCCATTTATTTGGACCACCCAGTATTGTACAGGATGGATTCAAAAAAAAAAGGAAACAGAGATATTATTGCTAATTGGAACAGACGTAGGGCACATGTGAATCAAAGGGAGATATCCTCTGTTAGGGTTGAATCTCCTCTTTAAAATGACACCCTGATCATGTCCTTACATTCACGGTTGACTGAGCAGTGACCAATTTCATGAAAGGGTCTATTTAGAGAATTCCGCCACTTTTCATGGTGAAATCTCTTTTTTTTTCCCCACCTGCCTTGATTGGCAACCATAGCCTTTCACTCTGTGACAAATGACACCACAAATTCCACAATTGAAAAGTGGCGCAGTTAAAATAGACCCTTTTATAAAATTGATCACTGCTCAGTCAACCGTGAATGTAATGACATGATCAGGGTGTCATTTTAAAGAGGAGATTCAACCCTAACAGAGGATATCTCCCTTTGATTCACATGTGCCCTACTTCTGTTCCAATTAGCAATAATATCTCGGTTTTGTTATTTTTTTATCCACCCTGTATATCACCTGCAAACACCCATCAAGTATGGTCACTCTTGTCATAATTTTATGGGTTTTAATCTTCATGTGTTTCTGATAAATATTTATTTTGTTATGTCCCTATTCCTTTGATAGGTGCTTGCTTGACCTTGGCCGCCAAACTGAGCGACACAAAAGGTGCCGATTTGCAGAATCTCATCAAGGTATGACAAGGTGGTGTTGTTGATTGACCGAAATTAGGACACATATTATGAACAAATCAAAATCAGGGAAAGATTTGAGATCAATTCCAATAAGCCAGTTCGATATTTCAATGACCTGAGGTCATTCGGGATAACATCGTTGACGTGATGTTACGCGATGTTACGCACACGCTTATTTTGCTGGTAATTTACACGCAAGTGTCGTGCGCCCGGGTTCGTGCACCTTCGAAACGTTCCATTATCCTGAATGACCCATGACCCATATCATTGTGCACATGCTCAGTTGCAATACCGAACTGGCTTATTGTAGGTCATATTGGCTTCAACCAGAACAGAAAGGGAAATTGTCCTTCTTATTTATTTATTTATTTATGACGAAAATATTGTTGAAAATCATACTTGGACTAAAGATGGTAATAGGAAAATTATTCTCTCTGGCAAGCTGTCATTTTGAAGAAAACAATGAAAGAAGGCCATTTCCAACGATGGGTCTAAAGAAGCATTTTTGGAGATTTCCGTTAGTAGTGTGTTTTTCATGAGTACGCTCAAGCGTTGACATGACGCACACGTGCGCGCAGTTGCTATAATTGTCGGTTCAGTGCGCGACATCGCGAAGCTGCAGTCGACTGAATGAGAACGAGTCCCAGATGCTGAATTCTGGCGAAATTCAAAACATGACTCGGCAACTTTTGATTTGAAATCAAGATCCTAGAATATTGTTTTTTCGGAGTATACAGCATTCACTGAGCTGAAAGTTCCCAGGTTAGATGTTAAGCACCCTTCTTTAGATTTTGGTCACTTTTGTTGCTTCAAACGAATATGATGCACAACTGACAAATGACGTACTCTACTTTTAAACAAGTATGTTTAAACCCGGCTAGGGTCCTGGTCGTGAATAATGGCGTGACCAGGCCCCAAGTAGTTGTTTAAAACTGGCCAAACACATATTTATTCCCTTACAAACTGAGTAGTACACAACAAAAAGCCCTCTTCTAGTCTGTTTTCTGATATCAATATCTCTTGATTATAGTGACTGTCCTGACTTTATCCTGTCAGATTTGGTGTTGAATAATATACAAATATTGACTGGCTCAAAGTGGAATGGGAGGAATATTATCACAAGGTAAAATCTGGACTTTTCTATTTCACTAGGCGAAAAATGGAAAAGTCCACATTTCACCAAGTGATAATATTCCTCCCATTTCACAATTTAAAGCCATTCAATATTTATTTAATACAACTGACATATAGATCCTTGTCATTTGATTTACAGTTAAAATGAACTTCAATTTAACACAAAATTGGTGGGAAATGCATTTCTCTCTTCCAAACCACCCTTTCACAAAATGTTTGAACTCAACTCTGTATCTACTGGCTCTTGGGAACAATACGCGCTACGCTCAACGAGCACACCAGTATGCATTTGCACACAAATACCGCACCATGGAACAAGGATGATCCTAACTGTTGAATAGTAAATCCCATTCCCATGGGCGAATGGGACTTTTTGAGCCCCGGCATGAATGGGAGCAATAATGAATGTCACGTGATGTGAGTTCCGCCAATCAAATGACAAAAATCTGTATGTCAGTTATATAACAATCTCTGTTGGTATGATCCACTGCAATTGTTTTCTCCAATGATTTCTTTCCTGTAGGAGATTGAGGACACATTCCGAGAAAACCGTAAGGAATTCCTGCAGCTAGAGTTCCCCATCTTGGTGGCGCTAGAGTTCAGTCTACACCTACCTGAGAGTGTTGTGCTGCCCCACTACAGACGCATCGCCCAGCTGACATGACCCAGGCCCCCTAGAGTTCCCTATCTTGGTGGCGCTAGAGTTCAGTCTACACCTACCTGAGAGTGTTGTGCTGCCTCACTACAGACACATCGCCCAACTGACATGACCCAGGCCCCCTAGAGTTCCCTATCTTGATGGCGCTAGAGTTCAGTCTACACCTACCTGAGAGTGTTGTGCTGCCCCACTACAGACGCATCGCCCAGCTGACATGACCCAGGCCCCACATGGCTGGTGGACGTCCAGCAAGAGCCCAAATTCTGCCAGTTTATTAAATCTCATACCACCTGTGTATTTAGACTCCAAATGGAGCTGTAACATGGCGCAATGTGGCCTCCTCACGAGAGCCATGTAAAGCATACGCTGTATATGTTTGTATGTCACTTATTTGTGCAAATATTTTCAGCAGTGTGTGCTTAAAATGTAACATAATCCTTGTGGAATGGCTACAGGAAAAGTCCTACAGTGCCCAAACAGTTACCGCTGGATAGGCCGAAGGTTCAATAGTCCGAAGGATCATTAGTCCAAAGGTTCGATAGTCGGAAATAATCTTCAAGCAAACTTGACGCATAGTAAAGATGAAACACGCACGCTGTACACAAACTTTCCCTATTATCCTATTATATAACACGTATTGTACGGAATGGCGCGCGCATCTTAGAATAGAGCAATACACGGAGTGCGGTATGGACCGTGGCCGTGCGACATAGTTATATGTAGCACGGCTTGTTGCCATGGTTCGACCAATCAAGATCGAGGATTCAAGTTAACTTGAAGATAAATGTAAATGAAGGACTACTTTGCACACCATGGTCTGACTGCTACTGCTATGAATGACACAAAAGCTATGTAGTGATACATTTGAATAAATGAAGACTTTGCTTTTGACCAAAATAGTGGCCACATACTGTGCCGTGTTGCAGTTCATCCCCCACTACGTCACCTGCTTCATTAGGATATTTGTATTTTAACACAAAGAGTTTATATAATCAGGCGTATTTATATATACATATATATACAGGGTGACCCAAAAAAAATGCAACCCTAAAACCTTTGCCTTAAAAAAAAAGGGATGGTGTATTTTTATGTTTTGGGTAGCAGATTAAAACTGAGGTTTTTCTTTCAAATACTGAAGAAAAAAAATCATGAAAATAGCACTTTGGGTCGCTGAGAAAATGCCAATTATGTTCAAGTTGTCATATTTCATCCTGTACACAAGTACTTCAAACCATGAAACATTTTACTGTAAGCCTACTGTGCAATTATCCTTCATTTGTGCAATTTCTTTAGTATTTTGACATATTTATGATGTTGAAAGGGTTTAAAATAGGACTGCAAAGGATGAGATACCTGTTCAGGTGGAAAATAAAAGGTATTTCCATAAAATTCATTTGTACTCTTGTCATATTATGTGCCATGTTGTTTGTAAGGAATAGGACATGCACAAATAGGTACAGTGAAATCCCTTACTGTGGTAATGTTTTGTGCACAGGATGAAAAATGACTACTTTTACATAATTGGCATTTTCTCAGCAACCCAAAGTGCTATTTTCATGATTTTTTTTTCAGTTTTCGAAAGAAAAGCTCTCAGCTTTAATCTGATACCAAAAACAAAACAATCCACCGATCCCTTTTTTTTTTTTTAAGGCTAATGTTTTGGGATTGCATTTTTTTGGGGTCACCCTGTATATTTGTTGGCTTTTGTTTATAGATATTAACTGTTAGAAACTGCCATATTTTATATTTGTTTTATATTTTATACAATGTCAACAATACGGCATTGTCATTGTGAACTTTTGATTCAGGGTCCAAATAATAATTTTCCTTATTTTGTGTTCAGCTTCTTTAAGAGGAATCGTTGTTCTTCATTTTGTCATTACAGAAATAATAAGTTTCGTTTTCATGCAATACACGATGAGTAACAAAAAACGCAACCAAAATGTTAGGAACTTTTTTTTTTCAGTGCAGTTCTGCATGTAGCACTGTCAAAATCTAGGATATGAAAGCCCAATTCATAAGCTTTCTTTTAGTACAAGAATCATTCAAATCACTCATGTACTTTTCAGGTTACAGAATTTAAACACAAACACCGTTTTGAAGTTCTGTCCATGGGTAACAAAAAAGGTAAGTGTTCTTTCAGCAAAACGAAAACAATTCTCATAGGGATGTATATGAATTGTTTTCGTTTTGCGGAAAAACACTTACCTTTTTTGTGATGCGTGGACAGAACTTTAAAACGGTGTTTGTGTTCAACTTGAAAAGTACATGAGTGATTTGAATGATTCTTGTTCTAAAAGAAAGCTTGTGAATTGGGCTTTCATATCCTAGATTTTGAAAGTGCTACATGCAGAACGTCAATAAAAAATGGTCCTGGCATTTGGGTTTCGTTTTATTTTTGTACTCACCCTATACATAAAGGCTCAAAAAAAAGAAATCAGGAAAAAAAACTTTATAAAACTTTATAGTTTAATTTTGAGTTGCTATTTCTCACCATTGTTAAATTACCAAACTGGGCACATGCACATTTAAGTTTCTTTTATTTTAAGATTCACTAATTCTTTGGGAACATACATGTGTTCATTTTACGAACATTTTTTGTAATATTAGGCATTTCATTAAGAAGCCGCTGTTTGAAAGCATTCCCCTTATTGTCTTCCTGTCTGCGCCATTCAACACCTATGTTACAAATGTTGCTGCCAAAGATATTTCGGAGTTTATATATGCTGTAAGTCTGTATAATATGTAAAAAAAAAAAAGAGTTCATTTGTACATAATCATGATCGACAGTATTACAACTCATTAGATTGTAACATATTAACTGCTCTATAATATATGCTTACTAAATGTGGCAAATGTGACCAGATATATTGTTAGAAAATCATAAGTAATGTCCTTTAATACATAACTTCTTCGTTATCAAGAGAAGTTTAACTGCTCTCCATGTATGCATGTAAGTATTAACCCGTTCTGCATGTCCAACATGCTAAATATGATGCTGTTCTGCAGCCTTTGCTTCATAGCCTCATGTGTTTTGCAAATTTGTCCCTATTTACAGCACATTTTCTTGCGTGTAGCTTTAGACAATGAAGTAGGCCTACATGTATGAATCTGAACACTACTTTGACCACATTAATTGAAATAAATCATGATGATCAGTAACAGTTTTACTTTGTTAGACTAATTTGTTCTGTGTTTTTCAGTGGCTTGTGTTACGTGGTGTGGGCTGGGTGCATATACCTATGTTCCCCAACCCTAAACCCACCTAACCCTAACCCTATGGATTTTGGGGAACATAAGTATTGGGGAACATCGGGTAGACCCTGTGTGGGCTAGCGATAATGGTACCCACGGAGAGATTTAAATCTCACCACCCCCCCCCCCAAAAAAAAAATGTCTTTGAAAGCCAACACATGTTTCTGATTCCAGAACTTCTTTTGTATCACACTTCGAAGAGCAGTTTCACACGGAACCTACACACAAGGATGAACGACTCGCCCAACTCCTGGTTAGACGCGTGATAACGGCCTGTATACTGGTGGCAAATACCATGAATACTTTTCAACAAAGACCACTGCGCGCGGTGGCTTTCAGAATTCAAGGCTCTTCCCCCGATCTGGCCACGAAGTCTGTCAAGCCAGCGAATTATATTTTTGAATATTCATAAGTCTACGTTTTTGGTCTTTATTATTGAATTCTGATAAGTGATAACTACATAACCATGGTAATGCCGAGCACAATATCTTATAGCTTTAAGATGAACAATGAAATGTCGCTTTTGTTTCATCGGTTCGGCATCCTATCTCTAAAACTTTTTAATGAAAGCCTAATTAAAAACGAAATTTAGGTAAACGGTGTTCTCCTCGAAATTTGACGTTTATTTCCCGGGTAAATACTTCATCTATGACGACAAAAACTGCACAATACCATCTGTTATATCCTGAAGTATTTATTTTTTAAATAATTTGGAACAATTATATCTTAAATAAGAAGTAGTTTTACTTACAGTTTTATGAATATTTCCGTTTTAGATGTCGTGCAAAAACCCAACACAATGGCACATCTGGAAAATTCGCGATTACGCGCCAACGGGTATTAATGCCCGTTATCACGCGTCTAACCAATTAAGGCAAGTCCGCTCAGTGCATTTTGTACTAGAGCTCAGAACAGTCTAATTTTATCCTGGTGTCTAGGATCTGTGAGTTTTAGTGCTGGTACATAAAAGCATTACAAAGAAGCATTATATAGTTAGGAGAAAGGAAAGATTACCAAATCTGGCCATCACTTGTCACCCCGTGCACAAACCCTATGTGAGACTGGTCTGAAAATTTCAAAGTGTTTTTTCAGTAAATACTTCAATATTTTCCCTGCTAAATTTGACTTTTTAAAAACACTATCACTTTTTGATAAGACGGACTAGAAAAAGAATGGAAGAAGTAAAAGTGGAGGAAGTTAACTTCGGATTTGGATGATTTCGCTTGAAATGAAACTAAAACTTGGCCTACGATGATCCAATCACACTGCGCACTTGTTTTGCTCAGTCATAAAATCTGCATGAAAAGACAACACATGGAGCAGGGAACAGACATGAGCAATATCAAACTTCAAAGATGATTGTGTTAACGGGCCCGATCTCCCCCTTTTCACTTTAGAGAGGGCGCTATTGTACTATCGATACAGCTACACGTGTACGAGTACTAGCTATATGGCCCATGTGACCATTTTAGCCGATTTTCGGCTAACTTTGACAGATTTTTTTGGTTAAAAAACGAGTTTTGACAAAATTTGACAGAATTCATTTTTTGGGCAGATTTCTGGCATTATTCTGTAAAAATGGTTATTTGACAGAAAAACATAGCAAATTTGAAAAAAAGCGGTACATTTGTTTAAAAAATTTCATTTGTTTAAAAATCTTTTCAAACAAAACTTGCATAATGGGACAGGTTGGCTGGTCTAGGTGCTGAGGTTCAATGGGAACCGGACGTCGTCGTGACGCAATCACGTTTTGCCTGAAATTTACGCAATTTCATGACATCTTTATGTGACTACAGCTTGTTTATAAATGTAACTTGAGCCTTAATTAAGACAATACTACAACATCTGCATGTGATTTTAAGTGTTTATAGTGACGGTATTTTTTTCTGGGGAATTTGGCAGACTTTTGATAAATCTGACAGATTTTTGAAGTGCATTTAGCAGAATATGGCCATGACCTTACGGTCACCCTGATACTGCCGCTTTGCGTGAACCTGCATGATATGTACTGTATCTAGTTGTGATGTGACAGTGGGCGCGGTTCGGCACCACAGCTGATGAATCATTTGTGAACCAAGGTTTCACTCCAACGAGGTAACATATTAGGGGTTTCATGTCCGAGTACGGGGGGGGGGGGGGGGGGGGGGGGGGGGGGGAGATTCTTTTTCTTTGTTTCGTTTCACTACGACGAATAAGTCAACTAATTATGCGGTGAACTACCTCCATCATTCATGGTGAACCATTAGCTGGAGTTACCCAGCCCTGAGTTTTATCATTGGGTTGTCTATTAGGGCTGGAGCGAATTTTTCTCGTAACTTGTAGTATAGGCAAAATTTTTTGGAAAATGTTCAATTTTGTCCCCGTTACACACTAATTGCAACTGCAACTCACCCCAAACTTGCCTGGAATAACCATTACACATACAAACTTATCGCGAAAATTCACCTATGCAAATTGGGGTCAACACGCCCCTCATTATGACGTCAACGTTGAGTTCGTGCTTGCGCTCATGCTAGCTGGAGTTACCCAGCCCTGAGTTTTATCATTGGGTTGTCTATAAGGGCTGGAGCGAATTTTTCTCGTAACTTGTAGTATTTGCAAAAAAATTTGGAAAATGTTCAACTGCAACTGCAACTCACCCCAAACTTGCCTGGAATAACCATTACACAGGTCCTTGAAGTAAAAAACGATCCACGATGAAGATTCAGCCTACAATTGCAGTGAGAACAGGAGGAATAACCGCTAACCTGACAACCTTTCAGGCATGGCCAGGACTGCTATTGGTTTGTGCACAAAAAAAATTGTGTACAATGAATGGCGGTCGATTAACAGGCACAGAGAGCGATCGCTGTCAACTACTCGTTTTTGCCGGCTGCGCTGGCGTTGGCGCGTGACGTCACGCGGAAGCGTAACACCCGATGACTGTTTCATGCACTAGTATAAGGTTTACCACTCGCATCACAGCTTTGGTACTGGAACCGCAACCAATAGTGCATGAAACAGTCATCGGGTGTTACGCTTCCGCGTGACGTCACGCGCCAACGCCAGCGCAGCCGGCAAAACGAGTAGTTGACAGCGATCGCTCTCTGTGCCTGTTAATCGACCGCCATTCATTGTACACAATTTTTTTTGTGCACAAACCAATAGCAGTCCTGGCCATGCCTGAAAGGTTGTCAGGTTAGCGGTTATTCCTCCTGTTTTCACTGCAATTGTAGGCTGAATCTTCATCGTGGATCGTTTTTTACTTCAAGGACCTGTGTAATGGTTATTCCAGGCAAGTTTGGGGTGAGTTGCAGTTGCAATTAGTGTGTAACGGGGACAAAATTGAACATTTTCCAAATTTTTTTGCAAATACTACAAGTTACGAGAAAAATTCGCTCCAGCCCTTATAGACAACCCAATGATAAAACTCAGGGCTGGGTAACTCCAGCTACGCTCATGCCATCAATTTCAGCCCGACTCACTTCAGTTTTATGAATGAAATCATTATGCATCGGAGAGTGAACATGCCAGAAATTTACAGTAGAAAAGCTCATGATATCTGCTTTCTTTTGCCGAAGAAAGCGTCAAAATCGATGAACTATTGCCTGAGTTTTGACAGTTCAAACATTTTTTAGCGTGTTTTTTTTTAGGAACCAAAACTTCTTATTTTTCGACGGAGTCCATCTTTTTAATCCTAAATTTCTTTCTTCTCGAATTTGGTTGGGGAAAACCTGAATTAGTTCCATATAGAACAGGTTTTCAGCTTTTTAGTGGTGTGGCACATGTGGGTGGTCGGTCTGATACGGCGATGGTCGCGAGCAATATGCATAAAAATTGCTCGCTAGAACTGCCCAAAATTGCGAATGATAGTGAAGTAATCACGTGATATAAACACGTGCAACGTGCATGAGATATATATAGCTCAGTGGAAGACGGTTACGAAGATTAAAGGGATCCCGTTTGATTAAAGGGATCCCGTTTGATGAAATGTGTGTGTGTCTCTTTTTTCTGTCCCTTTTCCCCTGTATCCCGATGCGACGGGGTTGGGCGGTGGGTTGGGGTGGGGATGGCCCGCGGGTGGGGCGGGGGAGGCCTGCAGGTGGGGTGGGGGAGGGGGAGGGGGAGGGGGAGGGGATGGGGTGGGGGCGGGGGAACAAAGACACAGTGGGTGGAATATGCACATTCTTTGGGTGAAGGGCCATTGCATATATCCAAACACCTTGAGGGGCGGGGTGGGGTCCCCTGGGTGGGGGGAAAGGAACGGGAGGGGGGTACTGAGAACCAGGATAATGGAATATTTCCTGTCTTTCATTTCTAACACCTGCACCATATCAGGACCCCATGGAAGGGGAGTGCACATAAGGGGTTGCCGGTGGAGGGGGGGGGGGCGTGGGGGAGGATGCCTCGTGAGTGTAGAGGGGGGTCGGGGGTAGAGTACTCAAAACCAGGAAGCTTACAATCCGGGGGGGGGGGGGGGGCTCAAAAGGAGGAGGGTGGAATTTCACATTTCCTTTTCTTTTTTTCGGTCCTTGCAACATATCCCGACCCTAGTGGCCGGTGGGTGGTGGGGGCCCCCACCAACACAGAAATCTTGATATGCAAATTAGGTAAACAGCGCCGCTCATTATAGCATCATCATGAAATTCTTGCTGACGCGCATGCCATCTACTTCGGCCAATTTTCGGCCAGACTCCTTCAGTTTTATGAATAATATCACTGTAGGCCTACATCGGAGGATGCACCTGCCAGAAATTTACATGCTGAAAGCAACAGAATGATGTCCGCTTCCTTTTGCCGAAGACAGCGTCAAAATGAAAGGGTGAGTTTTGACGATTAAAATATTGTTTTCGCGTTTTCCTTTTTGGAACTCAAACTTCGTATTGTCCAAGGGAGTCCATCTTTTCAATCCTGTTTTTCTTCCTTCCAACATTTTGTTTGAAATCAAATGAATTAATTCCGAGTAGTTGAGTTTTTTAGCTGGTGAATGGTGTGGCCTAAGTGGGTGGTCGGTTTAATAGTGCGATGGTCGCGAGCAAAATGCATGGAAGTTTATCACTGGAACTGCCAAAAATTGCGAATGATTGTCAATTATTGATCACGCCGGCTATATCCGGCCCGCCGGCACCGCGCGCGTTCTAATAAAAACCCAAGATTAATAAAATGATCGGTTACACCTCTATGTTCCGACACCCCTATGTTCCGACTGCACATATTCCTATTCCTAACCCTAACCCTAACCGGGAGTAACACAATCTAGGTTGTCGGAACATAGGGGTGTCGGAACATAGAGCAGTCACCAAATAATCAAGATGTTTTGTTTTCTGATAAATGATGTGACTTTATTATTGGGAATACCACTTTCTTTTTTTCCTTTCCCCTGCCCTGGATACCATATTCCGACCCTGGGGATGGGGCGGTGGGGGGGGGGGGGGGGGGGGGGCGGAGCGTGGTGTTCAAACCACGCCAAGAGGGCTGAAATTGTTTTTTCCAACAAGTGAAGTTTGTCTTTTAATTTGGTGCAATGACGTTCCCGACCAGACTTTCTTTTACTGCGATATCATGGACCGGGCCGGGGTTGAGGCGGGACCGTATCATAAGTCCGACGCCTCATAGGTCCGACGCCTCATAAGTCCGAAATTTCGGACTTATGAGGCGTCGGACTTTATTTATTCCGCCTCATAGATCCGACGCCTCATAAGTCCAACGCCTCAAAAGTCCGACAACGGAAAAACGAGTGTCGGACTTACGAGGCGTCGGAGCTATGAGGCGTCGACCTATGAGGCGTCGGATTTATTAGGCGTCGGACCTATGAGGCGTCGGACTTATGGGCCTTTATTTGGTTAGGGGATGTGATTTTGTCGGACTTATGAGGCGTCGGACTTATGAGCGGACCCCGTTGAGGCCGGGTAGGGGTTGTGGGGGGGGGATTTCCCAAAACAAAGAGGGTGGAATGTCCTTTATGTTCTTTTTAGTTATTAATCTTAAGACGTGCTGCTCTTGGGGGGAGAGAGGTGGTGGGGCCGCATGAGTCGGGGGGGGGGGGGGGTGGGGGGGGGGTTAAGGTACTCCAAACCAGGAGGGTTGAATATCCCGGGGAGCATCAGAAGGGGAGGGCCTGGAATTTCCCAATCTTCTTTTGTTTTCATCATCATCATCATCATCATCATCATCATCATCATCATCAGACGTCGTAGGCTACTGCCCGTTGACGCAACAACCGTCCACTTCTTCTGGGTTGTGTGACTGGTGAAGGGGTGATTTCCTTCGCTGAAGGGTCGCCGCAGTTAGTTTATCCACGCTGAGACCGCTCCATCTGGTGAGGCCGTCGATCCAGCGGAGTTTGGTCATTGCATTATATCCCGACCCTTGGAGACAGAGGGTGGGGGCCCCGACAAACTATTCACAGAAACCTTCGTATGCAACTAGGCGAACAGCTCCGCTCATGATGACGTCATTGTCAAGTTCTTGCTTCATTACGCGCATGACATCGTCTTCGGCCAATCTCACTGGGAGTCCATCTCTTCAATCCTATTTTTCTTCTTTCCAACATTTGGTTCGAATTCAAATGAATTTATTCCGAATAGTTGAGGTTTTCAGCTGACGAATGGTGTGCCACATGTGGGTGGTCGGTTTGATAGTGCGATGGTCGCGAGCAATATGCATTGGCATTTTTCGATGGAACAGCCAAAAATTGCAAATGATTTTCAATAATTGATCACGCCATCACCGCTTGCGTTCTAATAAAAAAAACCAAATTAATCTAAAAACCAAGATGTTTTGTTTTCTGATGAATGATGCACCTTTATTACATTATTGGGAGTAGGCCTACCCCTTTCATTTCATTTCCCCTGTCCTGGATATCATATTCAGACCCCCGGGGTGTGGCGGGGGCGGGGTGTGCGGTTGAAGCCATGCCAAGAAAGCTGAAATTATTTTCTTTTCCAACAGTGATTTTTGTCTTTTTACGGTGGTGGTGCAATTACGTTCCCGACCAGACTTTCTTTTTTACTGCGAGAAGGGACTGGGTTGGGGTGGGGGGGGGGGGGGTTGAGGCCGGGTAGGGGTTGTTGGGGGTCGGGGGATTTTCTTCCAGTGATTCTAAGTTCCAAATC